TTGGTACCAAAATTTGAGGTATGTCCAGTGCACGATGATTTTTCGATATTGTCGACATCGCAGTGAAATACCAGTCCTCCTTATATCACAACATATTCAACATGACAATGTTGGATAATAGTCATCATAATACCTTTGTTTATCTATCAATACATAACATTGTTAAACGATAATGAGTCCAAAGCATGTACACATTGCCTTCTGTTTTCTGTTGTTAACATCGTTCACATCGTCAACATTGCAATGTTGGTCGATATCGAGTCAACATTGTGTCAACATTGCCCTTCTCATTTTTCTTGTTTACATCGTTCACATCGTCGACATTACAATGTTGGTCGATATCGAGTCGACATTGTGTCAACATTGTCCTTCTTATTTTTCTTGTTTACATCGTTCACATTGTCGATATCGCAATGTTGCCGATATCGAGTCGACATTGTGTCAACATTGCCCTTCTTATTTTTGTTGGTTTACATCGTTCACATCGTCGACATTGCAATGTTGGTCGATATCGAGTCGACATTGTGTCAACATTGCCTTCTTATTTTTCTTGTTTTCATCATTCACATAGTCGACATCGAAATGTTGGTTGATATCGAGTCAAAATCGTGTCAACATTGCCTTCCATTTTTCTTGTTTACATCGTTCACATCGTCGACATTGCAATGTTGGTCGATATCTAGTCGACATTGTGTCAACATTGCCCTTCTTATTTTTCTTGTTTACATCGTTCACATTGTCGACATTACAATGTTGGTCGATATCTAGTCGACATTGTGTCAACATTGCCCTTCTTATTTTTCTTGTTTACATCGTTCACATCGTCAACATTGCAATGTTGATCAATATCGAGTCGACATCGTGTCAACATTGCCCTTCTTATCTTTATTGTTTACATCGTTCACATTGTCGACATCGCAATGTTGGTCGATATCGAGTCGACATTGTGTCAAACATTGCCCTTCTTATTTTTCTTGTTTATCGTTCACATCGTCGACATTACAATGTTGGTCGATATCGAGTTAACATTGTGTCAACATTGTCCTTCTCATTTTTCTTGTTTACATCATTCACATCGTGGACACAGCCATATTGGTCGATAATGAGTAGATATTTGTGTGAATAATGCATTCTTATTTTTAGCTCTTCTGAGCCAAAGGCTCAAAGAGCTAATGCTATGGCCATTTGTGCGGTGTGCGGTGTGCGTTAACTTTTTAGAATATGGGCCATAACTCAAGAACCCCTTGGCCAATCAGTGTCAAATTTGTCACAGGGTATCCTTGGCCCAAGGGCTACCATTTTTACTAAAATAAGGGTTGGGACCTTAAAACAAGGGGAGATAATCAGGAAAACAAAACCAAAAGTACTGGTTGCTAAAAAATCTTCTTCTCCAGAACCACCAGGCAGATTTTCACCAAACTTACATACAAGGATCAGGATATGTTGAAGATTAAAAATTGTTCAAGGCATGACCCTGGGGCAAAGGGCGTGGTCTCAAGGTCACTTTAAAGTTGACCTAAATTTACAATTATTAAAAATGTTTATATTTTGCTTACTATAAGGACTAGGATCATCAAATCTTGTAAGTTGATGCATCTTAGGACTTCACATCATGTTAACTCAAAAGTAGGTCACCGTGACCTACTTTTTGAACTTTATGACTTATCCTTTTTAAAACATTTAATCCCATTATTTCAGGCACTGAAAGGGTTAGAATCATCAAATCTTGAAAGTTGCTGCATCTTGGAACCTTAAAACATATGTAAGAAAAAGTAGGTCACTGTGACCTACTTTTAGAATTTTTCAGGCATTTGTTTTAAAATTGTTTAAAAGGCATATTTTGATTACCTTTAGACCTACAATCATCAAACTTGGTCGGGAGATGTATCTTGGGACTCTGAAAAATGTCGACCAAAATGTAGGTCACGGTGACCTACTTTCGACATTTTATGGCTATATTTCAGTATCTTAGGTATTTATTGGCTTAGAATCATCAAAGTTTGTGAGTTGATGCATCTTGGGTTTTCGGAGAATGTTGACCAAAAAGTAGGTCACAGTGACCTACTTTTGACATTTTATGGCTATATTTATGTATCTCTAGTACTTATCAGTTTAGAATCATCATACTTTGTGAGTTGATGCATCTTGGGTTTTCGGAGAATGTCGACCAAAAAGTAGGTCATTGTGACATACTTTTGAATATCTCAGGTATTTATTGGCTTAGAATCATCAAACTTTGTCAGTTGATGCATCTTGGGTTTTCGGAGAATGTCGACCAAAAAGTAGGTCACAGTGACCTACTTTTGACATTTTATGGCTATATTTATGTATCTCTTGTACTTATTGGTTTAGAATCATCATACTTTGTCAGTTGATGCATCTTGGATTTTCGGAGAATGTCGACCAAAAAGTAGGTCACGGTGACCTACTTTTGAATATCTCAGGTATTTATTGGCTTAGAATTATCAAACTTGGTCAGCAGATGCATCTTGGAACTCTAAAAGATGTCAACCAAAATGCAGGTCACGATGACCTACTTTCGACATTTTATGCTATATTTAAGTATCTCCAGTACTTATTGGTTTAGAATCATCATACTTTGTCAGTTGATGCATCTTGGGTTTTCCGAGATTGTCAACCAAAAAGTAGGTCACAGTGACCTACTTTTGAATATCTCAGGTATTTATTGGCTTAGAATTATCAAACTTTGTCAGCAGATGCATCTTGGGACTCTGAAAAATGTCGACTAAAATGTAGGTCACAGTGACCTACTTTTGACATTTTATGGCTATATTTCAGTATCTTAGGTATTTATTGGCTTAGAATCATCAAACTTTGTCAGTTGATGCGTTTTGGGTTTTCCAAGAATGTAGACCAAAAAGTAATCCTAATTGGCTAAGGATCATAAAACTTTGTCAGGTGATGCAACTTTGGTCTTAGGATACTTAGGGTTAGAAGCTTCAAATACAAGTGATAGGTTGTACAATTTATCAGAAGAGCGATTCAAGGCCCTTGGGCCTCTTGTCTTGTTTACATATTTGTGTTGGCCTTTATGAAGTGGACATCATGGCAACATAACGTTTCCTTTTATGTTAATCTATCTTGGTAAAATCATTGTCAACACATTTAACGCATAAAATCATTTTATGTAAGTGTGGTATATTATTTTCTTTCATTTTAGAAATAATACCTGTATCAATGTAGATGATGTAAAAGCGATATTGCATCAACATTGTTTACATTGCGATGTCGACGATGTCGTCATGTAGAAACAATAAAAATGTAGACGATGTAAAGGCGATATCGCATCAACATTGTTTACATTGCGAAATCAACAATGTTAACATACAGTGAAAAAATTATAACAATATAGACGTTGTAAAAGCGATATCGCATCAATATCGTGTACATTGCAATATCTTCATAATGAATAAAAACAAGGTAGACAATCTAATCACAATATCGGGTCTACATTGTCATTATTGCGATGTCGACAATGTCGAACTGATAAAGTGAATTGGACATTAATGCAAAATTTGGGTATTCTCACTGGAAATACAATTGTGAAATATGAAAGTAAGCCAAGGTTAAAGTTTTTTCATAAGTACGGAAATCTCCAAGGTCAAGGTCAAAAAATCAATGTAATTGGTTTCCAATGAAATGTCTTGCCACAAAAAATACATATGTATGGAAGCCCTAGCTCTAACCCTTCAAAAGTTATGGCCAAGGTTAAAATTTTTAAAAAGTTGGTCAAAGTCAAAGGGTCAAAGGTTTTGCTTGCAAATGAAAGGTCTTGTCACAAGGATTAAATATGTAGAGTATGAAAGCACTAGTCCTAACCTTTTCAAAGTTATGGTCAAGGTTTGCTTTTTAAAAGTAGGTCTAATGCCAAGGTCAAGGTCAAAGAATCAAAGTTTTTGGTATTCTGATCAATGAATGGTCTTCTTACAAGGATTACATATGTAAAGTATGAGATCACTAGCCCTTAGCGTTCAAAGTTATGGCCAAGATTAAAGTTTTTTCTAAGTTCAAAAATCTACAAAGTCAAGGTCAAAAGGTCAAGGTAATTGGTATCCAATGAAAGGTCTTGCCAGAAAGAATACATATGTAAAGTATGGAAGCCCTAGCCCTAACCGTTGAGAAGTTGTGGCCAAGGTTAAAAAAAATTAAAAGTAGGTCAAACTCCAAGGTCAAAGGGTCAAAGTTCTTGTTATCAAATGAAAGGTCTTGTCACAAGGATTTAATATGTAGAGTATGAAAGCACTAGTCCTAACCCTTTGAAACTTATGGTCAAGGTTTTTTTTTTTCAAAAAGAAGGTCAAACGTCAAGGTGAAAGGGTCAAAGTTCTTGGTATCCAATGAAGGGTCTTCTCACAAGGATTACATATGTGAAGTATGAAAGCACTAGCCCTAACTGTTCAAAATTTATGACCAAGGTTAAAGTTTTTTCATAAGTACAGAAATCTCCAAGGTCAAGGTCAAAAGGTCAAGGTTGTTATCCAATGAAAGGTCTTTCCACAAAAAATATATATTTGAAAAATAAATGCCCTGGTATTTACTGTTTAAAAGATATGGCAAAAGTAAAAGTTTGGAATTTTTGTGTAAAAGTGGGTCTAACTAAAAAGTCAAGGTCAAAAGGTAAAATCTGGTGGTACCCAAAGAAAGGTCTTGTCACAATGACACATGTGAAATATGAAAGTCATAGCTCCACTTAAGCAAAAGTTATGGGCAAGATTAAAGTTTTTGCAGACAAACAGACATACAGAGAGAGACGGAAGGATGGACACAACAAAAACTATATACCCCTGAAACATCGTTTATGGGGGCATAAACATATCTTAATTCTGATTCAAGTATACTAGAAGTTTTAAATGAAGTCAGTCAGTGTTTCTTGCATAAATTTTTTGATGGATTGCAATTCATAAAACATCATTCAATTATAGTCAAATTTATTGCTTAAATAGTGCTTCCCATAACTTCATTGCTCTAATTTTTTGCAGAAACAGATGCAGAGTTTGAATGGAGAGTATCACACAAATTCAACAACACAGTATCTTCAGGTAAAGGCAATGTAAAAGTATGAAATTATAAAAAGTGTAGAATTCACTTTAGCTCTCGATTAAAAAAAAATCAAACATCTTTGATTACCAGTCCTTAAATGTATTGATACTGTAAACCAACTTTTATTTGCAACAACTTCATTTCACGATTTTCTGGGGATAAACTAGTTCGCGAAATTACTTTCCTTGATGAAGCCAAATTTTTTATCTGTTGTTATAAGGCAAATAGACTTTAAAGACCAGTTCGTGGCAAGAAATATTTGTGATGATGGGGCTCTCGAGAACTTTGCGAAAATTTCTCGCACACAAATAAAACTTGATTTACAGTATTATGTACAGAACATGAATTGTATATTCTTATAGAAAGTGTCCAGAATAGATCCATAAATGTAAAGCTAACAGTGGAAGGTTCCAAAGGAAGGCAGGTTGAACAAGCACTTCATCAGCAGGTACTCTCCACAGACACTGGGATTATTGAGGAGGCTGCTACGTATGGACAAATGACTATTGAAGATGTCTCTACTGGTTCTGTAGTCATTCAGTTAAGGCCGATCACTGACCAAGCTGTACGGACATTACTCAATGCCAGAGAAAACAACAGGCTGGTGGAGTTTATACTAGGGATGATAAAGAGGGTAAATATACCTACTGTTCAGGGAACAGAGCCTCTGGAGATCAGGGTACAGGTTTCTTATTCACACCCACCAGCAGCTAAGCCAGGTAAAGTTCATCTTTCAAAAAAAATACATTATAATGCAATGCACACATAACATTTATTTGCATTATGTACTGATATATACCTTCCCCAGAGAGTCTTACACAGCAGAAAATGATTTTTTTTGTGTGTTGTCTTTCAGATATTCCTAAGGCAGAACTAACCAAGCAGAGAGTGAAAGTTTATAGGAATGAACTTGTCTCCGAGTTAGAACCTGGAGCTCTGATTTCTTTGTTATCAAAATCAGAATGCTCTGCACGGAGCGCAATGGATTCGATCAGAAGTGCTCCCACTTCTAGTGAACGTACAGAAAAACTTCTATCATTGATTGAGAATGGGGATTTAAAGACAGTAGAGGCTTTTATTACTGCTCTAAAGGACGTAGGATATCGTGAGATTTTGGAATTAATTGATCCCATAGATATCCATAGTAAAGCTGGTAAGTGAATCAACTACATATGAAAAGTGTTTTAAATAATTCATTTGGATCAGCAGCTATATTCATTTGATATTCTGCTGTATTGTGGGTAAACTATGAATTTTTAGAATATTTGGTACATTAAGATCGTTTATGAGAGTCAAGTGTGTGTCATACTGTAGACGTACTTTTTTCCATGGAGTCATAATTCCGCGGAATCTCAATTCTGTTTAATCGGCGGGTAGAAAAATACATGGATTTTCTAGATTGTCACTATATGCCTTACATTTATATTAAGTACGCATGGACAAATTCCAGCAGGAAAATTGTGACCGAGTACATAGCGTAAATTAATACCACCCAGAAAAAAGTACTCCTACAGTACCTTTGACTCAAGTGGAAAATTCAAGGTCACTGGTATAAAAAGTGTTAAATTCATGACTTGTCTATCATTTTCTAATGGAGAAACATTGGATGTCTATATTTCACCTAAAATTTACTCATTACAGAGGATGTGTCATTTTTTTTAACCAAGGTCTTACTGGCAAGCTCAAAATCACATTAATACAAAAGTTGAATGGACTCTTTAAAAAAATGTAGTCAGGAGTATTATTTTGTGATCTTATTCACAGTACCTCAAGTTTTATACTTCTGTGGATCCTGTACAATGGTGTATAATATGCATGTGACCGTTAAGGCCCTCATAGACCTCTTGTTTTATCTTGTGATAAAAAACAGCAGGGTCAATGGTGACTCAGGTGAGCATTGTGGCCCATTGGCCTCATTTGTTTTGCTTCATTCATATTTTAACATCAATTCTCTGTAAGGACCAAAATTTTACTATAGGGCTGTGGCACACACCATGGGCGATTTCAATGAAACTTTTTCAGGTGATTAATGCCCATACAGTATGACATAATCAACATTCAAAATTAAGGTTACCACCTTGGTTGCCATGGTAACGGACAAAAATAGATTTTGGCCCCATTTATGCCCATTTCACACATAAAAATGCTATATAATTCATTTCATATGGTATAATCATCTTTATTTTTATAAGATAAATAATACATTATATGAACAGAACATATGGAGCAATATATTACACAAATAAAAAAAATAATTCTAAATGTCACAGCAAATTCCTCAATTGGTGGCTCAAAGATGACCAAATTCTAACATTTCGAAAATGGACATTTTTACCCTGTTTTTCAAGAGGTCTATCAAAAATTGCAAGCACTATGAGAAAAAATCAACTGAAATTTTAAAAACACTATAATAATGTTATTCAACTTTTATAAAAAGTAGAGTGGGTATTTTATTCGTTTAAAATATTTTTAACTTCAAAAACTGGCATTTTGCCAAATAATTTGTTTCTTTTTCAAAATTTTACCAGACACTAGTTGTTTAATAAAATTTCTTTTCCAAACATTTTTTTCTTAAAAATATGAGAAATCAAATGAATAATAAATGTTTTCAATTTTTTTAAAGCTATTAATTAAAATGAATCAAAATTAATTGTTTTATTATTGTTTCTCAATGATCCCTTACAAAGGGCAGATAACTCAAAATCTAGCAAAAATTAGCTCTTTGATAGCCATTTTCTATAAATAATAAAACTTCTTTGTCATGCACTGATTCTGATGAAACTTTCTCCTTTAGTACTACTTGATACCAGAAATAAAAATATCAAATAAAATTTGGTTGCAAGGTATCTTGGTTGCTATGGAAACAGCCAGAAATTTTTGAAAAATTGAGACTTTTGGCTACTTGAAATCTCAACTGAACATTTAATAAAATCTAAGAAAAACCAACAAATTATTCTCACAAAAACTACACACCTTGTTTTAATTTTATGCTACTGTAACGTGTTTGCCTAACACTTATACTATAATATGATTTTTCTCAGGGTCTAGGGCCCCCTCAGATACCTTGCTGAGGAATTTGATTGTTGACAGAAACTTATTTACATATGCAAAATATACAGATAGCGGGTGCTTCCCTAGCACGCAAATAAACGAAATAATTAATCAAACTGCTCTTAATCAATTGGGCTTCTAAGTCCGAAGCGACTTCGAGAAGCGCCCAAAGTAACAAGCAAAGCGCCAGAACGTCGCTTCTTCCAGAAGCGACAGGTTACTTCTACCTGTATACGGACTGCCTTCTTATGCAACGCTCACGTAGACTGTTACATACTAGGTAAACTCTGTTCTGCACATCGCAAAGCAATAATGACTTATGAACAGACTTACCGCTGCTGTCTATCTCCTTTATTATAGCACACGTCCTCTCTGGCACTCTATCAGTAACTGTAGCAGAAACTGACTCTATCGAGTCTCGACGCCTTATATATACTACGAGTATATCACGTGACATACCCACTCGGAATGTCTGGGCACTCGGCGTTTTACGAGCTCAGGGTCCCTTCGGAACGCCCTGTCTCCTTACCTTAATTATCTATTTCCGTTACATTACCCACGCCTCAGATTCAAGCGTCCTTGCTTGCACAGGAAATTAAAACAAAGAGGCATATTATAGACAATTTTTCTTATTTACAATGATTTGAATGCTGTCAATTCCTTTGACAAGGTAAGCTGTATATACATATATTACATCAATAACCAGTCACCATACAGTGCGTGAGTCTAACAATCGTCTAACTCATATTATAACTCTTCTTCCTTTCAACAACTTTGATTTTGACCCCATTCTCCCACTTGGTGGTTATGGATTTTGTGGAGTACACATAAAGAGTTGGCTCAGTCTGCGTAGTCGCATTCACAGTGGATGTCTTTGAAGACTTCTCTAATTCATGCACCACCGGATCTGACTGATGAATCTCTTTGATCTTTGTCTGGGAACCTGTATAGAGAACCGGCTGAGTTCTCTTCCGAATGATTCTTCCTATCTCTAGGTCTTCAGGTGCCTTCTCTATCTCTTCAGTTTCCCTGGAGTCTTCTCCATCACTAGAGCTACATGGACCCAACACATCTGACAGCTCTCCAGGATCCTGAAATTCCCAGTCACTTTGGTTAGATTCCTTCTCCATATGGTCACTACCAGGGTTCGCCGCGGAACTTTCTTCACCAACTACAACATCAGCTGCTTTTGTAATCGTGCTTGGCTTTTGCTTCTTAGCAGGGGGTGGAACAGTTGCTGAACTATTATGGACCTTCATGTGTTTCACAAGGTAGCTGTTCTTCTTGAACCTGGCTCCACAAGTTACACATTTAAATCTCTGTCCTGAGCATAAAATGACGTGGTCCTGCCATGGCTCATCAATGGCTTTGTCACTAAAAGGACAGTCAGGCTCTTTAGCTTTGGTAAACTTTATTTTAGGCATAACTGTAATCTACAACAAACAAAAAATGGATTAAAGCTAATTTAAATGCTCTTCGAATCTTTGTCATCTTTAAAATATAAAAAAAAAATAAAGCGACATAAATAACCTGTCTAGCAGAGATCTACTACATAATCTGATAAATAAGCAGGAGTCCGTCTGCTTCTACCAGATCTTTGAGGCTTCTGATTGATCTCTGGATCATTAATACCCTCTCTATCAAAGTCCAACTCTTCTAACTGATCTTGTTGTAACGTGAGATTTTCATTCTGGTCGACATCACCAGAATCACTTAGATCTACCTCACCAGACAGAATCTGAGGTTTAACCAATCTCATCCTGTCTACATGTATCACTTGTGGCGACCCTTTACTACCACAGGATACTTTGTACGTGAATTCGGAACATTTTTCTAGAACTTCGAAAGGTCCTTGCCAAAAGCTTGTTAGCTTTGGCGAAGTACCCATACGTCTGCGAGGAAAGAATACGTAAACGTGGTCTCGAGGGGAGAATCTCTGCCACCGTAACTTCTTGTCATGGTAGCGTTTTTGACGCATTACTTCCCCTCTAGTATTTTCTCTCACAATACGGTGTGCTTCCTCCAGTCTCTCTTGAAGCAACCAGGCCCATCTATTCTGTGGAATTGGCTTTCGCTGTACTTCCATTTCGTATACGAGGTCTAGAGGCGTTGTCGCTTCTCTACCAAGCATAAGGTAGTTTGGAGAGAAGCCAGTTGTGTCATGCTCCGCTGATCTATAAGCCATCATGACATACGGCAACTGTTCGTCCCAATCTGTATGATTTTGGTTCACGCAGGAACTTAACATGGCTTCTAGAGTTCGATTAAACCTTTCCACCATACCATCTGACTGCGGATGGTAGGGTGTAGTGCGAGTCTTTTCTATTTGCAACAGTTCGCACACCGAATGGAACAAATCACTCTCGTATTGACGTCCTTGATCTGAGTGTATTGTATAGGGTACTCCGAATCTAGTGATAACCTGTTCAACCAGAATCTTTGCCACAGTTTTTGATTCCATATTTGGCATCGGAAAACATTCAGTCCAGCGAGTAAAATAATCTGAAACTACCAGTATGTATCTGTTTCCAGACTCTGTTAATGGCAATTCCCCCATAATATCTGTTGCTATTCTATCCATGGGGAATCCATTCTGAACAATTTGCATTGGCGCTTTCTGGCTAGTAAATGACGGCTTTCTTCTGGCACAGATGTCACATCCATTTATATACCGACGAACATCTTTGTTAAGCCCTGGCCAATAAAATTGACTTCTTATCTTTGCGATAGTTTTGTTTATGCCTAAATGACCTGAAGTACGCTTGTCGTGGTATTCCTTTAGAATATGCCTTCTCTCAGACATAGGCACAATTATCTGGAGCTTTTCCGTCTTTGTCTCTTGGTCTATGGTTCTCCGATATAGTAAATTGTCCTGAATGGTAAGTAAACTTAGCTGTGACCATAGAGAACGTAGAAATGCACTTTGACTGGCCACTTCTCTAAACGATGGTTTCTTTTCCTGATCCACCCAACGTTTTACAAGAATAATTTCCTTGTCTTCGCTTTGAACCTTATGGAGATGAGTCTCTTGAATAACTGGGGCGTCTATTGTTGCAGTTCTTACTTTGGGTTCTTCTTTTTCCTTATCCCAGTCTACTTTGAATCCACAT